ATCATTGCCGGGAGGATGGTATAATTGAAATGTTGGATTATAGCCACGAAGACTTTCTTGACATTTGGAAGACTTTTCTGTATACCTGCGCAACTAGCAATGTGTTTGATGTTGACTTCCGGGGTTTGTTTAGCATCAAATCTTGTATGTATGCATCACCTTTTGTAATTTTTTGCAGCTTGTACTTCTTGATTAGTACTGTCATGAATTATTTATTTGTACTTACCCTTGATGTGGTCCTTTCTTTTTTAATTTTGCAGGTGAGTGGTTGGATCTTGGTGAGCATGACTACAGGATCTTTGGCAGCTAGTTCTCGGAGCTCGAGTGTGTACCTATTGATTTTAGCCAGGGGCGTTCTCCCGAAAAGACAAGATATAGTGTTATGAAGGGGCGGTTGGGAGCTCTGAAAGGTTCTATGGCTGCTTGTGCAGAGTGCCCCTCTACACCCAAGAATCCCATTGTGGAATTGATAGACAGCGACGATGATGCGTTTGACAAGATTGCTGGCATGGGAAGAGTCACCAGGAGCGTTGCTGCCAAGGGTTTATCCCTCCTTGCTGGAATAGTGGCCCGTAGAGCTGGTACTGCTAGGAAGGATCCTGCTATGGATTCTGGCAATGTTACAAGCACGAAGCATGCACCCAGAGCTCCTATAAAGTTTTGCTCCCTTGTGCAGCAGCTTCACCCTCATAAATTCCCTCACCTGGACAAGGCTCGCAAGTTGTATAATTTGTTGCTTAGTGATGAATGGAGTGAGAAGTATGCCGAGTGAGTATCTCTCATTATGCTTCCTCTTCTTATCTTCTATTGTTTCTAACTGCTAGATAAATATGACTTGTACTGTTCCTTTTTATACAACTTGAACTTCTATGAATGCCTTATCTTGCTTCCCCTGTTTTTTGTTCTTGTGTGTGTTGCAGGAATGTGTTCTCAATGATACCTCGGCCTGATGATAACATAACTAGCTTCACAGGGAAACGCATCTCGGAAGTTTGTTCACCTGGGCAAATGATGGAGGGTGATGTAATGGACATCCTCATTGATGATTGGAAGCAAGATCCCGAGAGAAATGCTGATTTCGCATCTCGAAAAAGGGTATTGCTGAGTCCATATTTCATCACGGTAATCAATCAGATTGTTTCTTTCTGTTAAACAAGACTGCCTATTGTTTTACGAGTTTTAATAATACTTTGCTTGTTGATCCTTTCCTCCTGTATATATTTCTTTTTTGGCTTTTTGCAGGTTGTGCTTGACTATACGTTTTACGGTGATGGAGATAAAGAGTTTAATGTGGAGAGTGCAGAGAGAGATTTCAAGAGCTATGTTAAAGATGAGGAAGACTTGCTCGGTGCCGACCATGTGAGTTCTACTAGCAGATTTTTGGTTTTATTTGTTTGTTGTCATGCTGGTTTTTATTTTGAATATTTAATATGTCTTTTTTGGTCATTTGTTTTTTAGATCTTGATGCCTCTATTCAAACCTATGATTTTACCAAGGGATAGGAAAGTGAACGACTTTTCCTTATATGTCATGAATCGGTACCGGAGTAGTATCGACATCCTTGACTCTTTACCTTATCCGTAGAACCATCGTCCTTCAAAGAACACCTATCATAAAGATTGCGAGAAGATTGTGAGTGACATTTATTATCTGTATTGGATTAATTTTTCCGCATCTTTGTTTCTGCTTTTCTTAGACCTAAAAATGTTTGGTTTGTCTTCTTTTTTTTACATATTTCTAGATTGGTCCAAGTAATGAAGGCTGTGTATGGTGATGCTCGGTACAATGCGAGCAAGCAGCCCAAATTGGAGGTTTTTTCAAAGAAACAAAGGTTTGTCAAGGTTCCACTTCAAGGGCCGAATGAATGTGTCCATTATACTTTGAAGTATGCGGGATCCTATGATGGTGAAAAAGATCATTGAGAACATTCGAAATAATGACGTGGGTTCTAGATGAGCTTTTTCACTTTCTTTGTTGGCTTATTGTGTATTCTTTTTTATGTGTCATAGTTTTTGATAATTTGTTTTATTGTTTTGCATCCTCGTATTATTGATTGGAATGCTGAGGATCTATATAGAGTTGTGTTCAACCGGAATAACCATCTTCTGATGAGGGAGCTTCCCAAGAAGGTTCAGGCTTTGGCTCCTGGTGCATAGAAGAAATGGTCATCATTTGCGTAGTGAATGGGATAGTTGTGTGTATATCTCCTGAAAGCATTGTAGGCTTTGTTTGTAGTGTTTGAATGTCTTGTCAAGTACTATGTAAGAACTGGTATATTTTGTGTTGTGTTTAAGTGAGGCACAATGTTTAACAAACTTTTTTTCCATGATGATAGTCTTGTTGAATAGCTATTTCACTTGTGTATGTTTCATCTGAAATTCGTTTTGGTTAAGTTTTTTTTGTACTAAAGTCTTATATACTAGTTGAACTGAAAACATCTTTTTTTCAAGTGCATTACGAGTTGTTGCTGAGAAAGTGAGATTTATTTTGTTTTTCATCTGATTCCAACCTAAGTTGGACCTTTATAGTTTATGTACCCTTGTTTCTTGTACTTATGATATAGTTCTGTTAGTATTGAATTGTAATCTCATTCAGTGTAAGGCTTTTAAAATTTGGTGTCACAATAGCACTTGTGGATCTAGCGTGATTGGAGTGATGATTACTTGTTATGTACTCGAACTGATGTTATATAATGTATTAGAACAGAAGTTTTTTTTGGTATTGAAATTATTTAGGACGAAGTTGCTACATGATCTCTAGCCAGATTTTATTTAAGTATAAGAAATTTAGCAAAATTTGGGATCCAAATTTTTGTTTGAACTTCTTGAACTTTAGTAGTTGAACTTCATAGTAAAAGTTAAAGCACTGGTTTAAATTAGCTACATTTAACAGATAGCCCTATTAAGTTCATAACTACTTCACTAGTCAATGTGGGCTGATGCTTTTGTTGTTTTTTTTGTGAATTTTTGTCCTTGGTTGATCTGTAATCTATTTGGTTGAGTCTTGGCCTTCTTTCTCAAGGCATTACTTGGTATCATCATAGCACTTACCGAATAAACTAAGTTGTACTGAGATTTTAATTGTGCTAATACTTTGATCATTTATATTTTTTTGTGTGGTTTAAAACTAGTACCTCATCGGTCAATGTGGGTTGATGCTTCTATTGTCAATGTGGGTTAGTGTGTCACTGTGTTAGGGAATGCAAAGTGAAGCTTCCCGTTCCTTTTTATTTTTGTAGAATGAATGTACTATGTGTTCAAGTGTACCAGTACTTTCAATCCTAGCATGCTAGTGACTAGGAAATACATACTGATGGTTCTTTGCTTTTCCTGTTGAAGTACTTAGTAATTTTCTAACTACTATTAGAATGATACTGTTAGTACTGAATGTTGTCCTCGGCTGAAACTTAGTCTTTTCAGTGTTCTTCTGAAACTAAAAACTGATTTTTAGTGTGGTAGTACTACCGTACATGTCTAAGTTATACTGAGTGTCCAAGGTTACTATTTGTTGTTGTCCTTAGTTAGTCTGCCACTATTTTTTTTTGAAAATATCCATGTGTGATTTGTTGCTCCATGACTAGTGCTGCATAGTAGCCATCAAGTTTCATTCACAACCTACTTCAACTTCAAATGTTAGATAAACAAAATAGGAAGCTAGGAAACTTGTCGAACGACATAAGCAAACGATGTACTTGATAGACATAGGCAAACTTGTTCAAACCCCAACACACATAACGGAAGCTGGTTCAACCTAACGAAAGAAAACTACAAATCTGAAACAACAAGATTAAGGACGGTAGAAGCGCGACCGACACGAAGGCAGACGTTCGTGCCTCTTCATCCCGCGAAGTTGCAGTGGTAGTAGGGGTCAGCCTCCTGCTCTTGTGAAATATCCCAAATTGTCACGATGTTGTCGATTATCTTCCATGACTTGTACGCGGCGTACGCATCTTTTCTTGCGTACTCGATGAGCTTGTCTGGCAGCGGGCTTGTCCCCCATAGTTTGCGGTCTTCCTCCTTGTTGATGTTCTGCTTCATGCCTTTGTAGAACGGTGGATGACACTGGCTGCAACACCGACCAAAGAGTCGTAGAATTTGTTTGTTGTTGGAACTTTCCACTTGCGCTGCATGTCGATGAAGTTGTTCGGGTTGATGTCCAAATCAGACTTTTTCAGCATCTTTTTGTCACCTTCAATGCTGAAACCGGCAAATGTGTACAATTTCTCCTCCTGCAGGAACTATTTGAGGCACTTTGGCCTGCAAGGGGGGATACACATATTGAAGATTAGTGTTTTTTTGAAGATTTAATTCTCCTGCTTTTTTGTTTACAAGTGATAATCCATGAGGTAGACGCTTATATAGTACAAGTCATGGATGAATGTAGTTTACAAACTAGTACACAAAGTCCTGAAATTAAATTCAACTACACCATGTTATTTTTCTTTTTTGGTATCTTCAGTGCTTCACCAAATGATTCACCAAGTTCAATAACCTATTTACCATAGTCGATGATATATGTGTTGCTTACTTCAAGTTTAGTTTTCTTTTTTGTTGAATAAAAGACTTATACCAGTGCTTGATACATCTTTGTTCATCAATTCTATATCAAGTTCAGAAATAAATTTGAGAAACATGTGCATCAAGATATGGACCTATATCACTTCACCAAACATCTTTTAATACATCAATTCTATAACCTATGCTAGTGCATCAAGATCAGAATCTATGCTAGTACATCAAGTTCGGAAATTAATTTGGTGAAACATTTTTAAGATGCTAATCTAGTGCATGAGTATCAGATGCTAATCTGGTGAAACAATCCACTTCACAATTTTAGAAATGCATGAAACTTGATAAACATGTACTCCTGCATCCACTTCACAAACTATAGTAGTTCATTTAGTTGGGAAACAAGTTTAATGAAATTTTTAGGGAGTAGTACTAGTACAACAGATGAATGAACAGTAGTATGGGTTACCATTTTGTGGCTGCTGCGATGTGTTACACCAAGCAGAGTTCCTCGATGCACAACTGCAGGACTGCTGCAATCTGGGGAGGTTCATCTTCGCTGGTGTACTCCACATCAACTCCGATGAAGCTCCGATACAAGAAGACACCCTTCTTCCTGAGCCTGCTCATCATCTTGTCGACCTTGTCTGGTTCGCTGGTGCAGAAGATCTCCAGCATCTCCTTGCTGTGGAGCTCAACCCCTTTGAGCATTCTGGTGTACGCGCGCTTCTCACCGGGGACGTGAACATCGTCGAGGTTGCTTCTCTTGTCGGACGTCTCGCCATGATGATGCTTGGTGGACGGTTCCTCCGCCATCGCCCTCCTCCGGTGATTGTGGGCTTGGGAGAGAGAAGTTTATGGTTTGTCTGCAGTGGAGATGGAAGCGGCAATGGTGGTTGTGGGAATGAGGCAGAGATGGAAGACAATGGGTTATTTTTCCAGCGCGTCGACGGGGGATGTGTGGGAGGTGGTTCGTTGGGGACGTGGGTGTAGTGGTCGTGGGTGTCGCGGTTTGCACTCCCTTGTGGGAACCGCCCAGTGGGTGGCGCAGGTAGTGGCCTGGAAGAACAAACCGTCCAAGTCAAGAGTCTCTACTATCGAACTGAGTAGTCTTGTCAAGCTATACTTATCAGCTGCTTATCCCACTTGCACGTCTCAGGGGTGGTGATCATGGCATTTTGCACTGTTTAAGTGACGTATGCTTTTTATGATGTTTATCCGTGTGGAGGTTTTGTCTTATTTTTCTACTGAAGTCTTATACAATAGTTGATCTCAAAACATTTTTCAGTGCCCTGGGAGTTGTTGCTCAAAACTGGGACTTATTTTATTTTCATCTGTCCGAACCTAAGTTAGGCCTTTTATAGTTTTTGTATTATATTTTTAGTGCACTCATGGTTTAGTGTTTTGTGAACTGAATTGTAATTTCATACAGCGTACGGTTTTGAAATTTGGTGTCACAGTGGTGTGAGTGGCCTGACTGTTCCTGCTTTTTTTGAACTGATGTCATATGTATGTCTGGACTGGTTTTTTGGGGGGGGGGTGGTTGAGATTATTTACGACGAAATCATTCGTTGAGGTGTTGACAGATTTTATATAAATAATAAATTTAGCAGAATTGACAAAGAAAATCTATTTGAACTTCTTGCATTTTAGTAGTTGAACTTGTCAGATTTTACATAAATAAGAAATTTTAGCAGAAATGACAAAGAAAATCTATTTGAACTTCTTGCATTTTAGTAGTTGAACTTGTCAGATTTTACATAAATAAGAAATTTAGCTGAAATGACAAAGAAAATCTATTTGAACTTCTTGCATTTTAGCAGTTGAACTTGTCAGATTTTACATAAATAAGAAGTTTAGCAGAAATGACAAAGAAAATCTATTTGAACTTTTTGCATTTTAGTAGTTGAACTTCAAAGTAATATTTAATTCGGTGTTTTAAATTATGTACATTTAACAGATAGGCTATTAAGTTCTCTGCTTTTTAGAGTTTCATTGTTTTTGTATCATATTTTTCCTTTTTTTATCATCCATGGTGCAGAGCTAAAATTATTTTTATTTTTATTTTTCGTATTTTAAAGTTATTGCCTACAAACTAGTAGTTAAACTTTTATATTTTCAGTTTTCGAACATTTTTTGTAGTTTATATTTCTTTGCACCGCGCTCTGCTTTGTTTAACTGGCCTTATTGGTGGGGTGTTTGTAGACGATGGAGGCTATTGGGCCATTTTCCGGCCCAAATGGCCCGCACGTGCGTTTTGGGGACTGCTGGATGTGCATGTGCTCTAGGTTTAGTCCCACTTCACTAAGGGAGGAAGCTCTCGACCTGTTTATAAGCGCGGCCGAGTCCTACTGGTCGAACTCCTCTGAGTACTTAACTGAGCACTTATAAACGACACTCGCTCTCTCTCATGACCTGTGGGCCCTGGTCGGCTAGCCCTGCGTTGTGCGGATTACTAGGCATTCATCGATGGTTCAGTCGTGGGCTCGAGTTCAAGTATCTAGCAGCGTCAGGGCCTGGCTTACCTTGGGCGGTCAATTTTTACTTTTTTTGGTTTGAATCTAGTACTTGACTCCACCAGTAACTTGGACTGATACTTTTTGTTCTAGTTCTGTGGAAGTGTTATTTTTTCATTTGAATGTTTTTGCCTTGTCTTTGTGTTTGTTTTTGTGATTATTCTCAAGGGTCTTCTGGTATCATTTTCAGCACTATGGTACTTGCGTGTAGACTAAGTTGTACTGATAGTCCATTCATAGTAGCAGTTACGTTCTTAGTCTGACATTTTTTTTGGGGGGGTGGGGTTACGAACTGATGCTTCTTTGTACTTTCTATTATAGTAAGTATGTACTATCCGATCAAGTGTACTAGTACTATCATTTTAAGTCCGCAAGTGACCAACATAAGTGTGTGATGATGCTTCTTAACTTTTTCTGTTTGTAGTACTTGTTAATTTTCTAGTAGCTACATATGTATCAGAATAGTACATGAAGTACTAAGAATTTCTGCTTCAACTTTTGAAGCGTTGTTAAGCAACTCAAATTGTACTGATTGTTTTCAATGTTATGTTTTCTATACAATACTGAATCAAAACTACACATGCAACAACGTTGTGTGATTAGTTGCTTCATAACTAGTAGTTTAGAGCAGCCACAAAGTTACATTGAGAAGCTACTTTGAATTTGAAATGATGGATTAACAAAATACAAAGCTACCAAACTTATATAATGAGATAAGCAAGAAAATGTACTTCATGACATAAGTAAACTTGTTCAACCATGACAAGCACGACATAGTCATACTGGTTCAGCCCAACAAGAGCAAACTACGAATTTGAAACAACAAGGTAAAAGGCAAGCACAAGCGGAAGCAAGGCAAAGGCAGTCTTTGATGTATCTTCATCCCTAAAAGGGGCGGAAGGGGCGGTCATAGTAGTGGTCAACCTATCGTGCTTTTGCAATTTCTCTACCATTTGTGATGTTGTTGATCATGTTCCATGACTTGTACGTGGCATACACATCTTTTCCTGCGTACTCAATGAGCTTGTCTGGCAGCGGGCTGACCACCCACAGTTTGTGGTCTTCCTGCATGTCAATGTTCTTCTTCATGCTTTGTGGAACGGGTGGATGCCGCTGGCTACAACATTAGTCAAGGAGTCGTACTCTTTTCCGGTGTATGGAACTCTCCAGAAGAGCTGAATGTCGACATACTTGTTGGGGTTGATCTTTGGAAGGCCAGACATCTTCATCTTCTCTTTGTTGCCTTCAATGCTGAAACCGGCAAATGTGAACAACTTCTCATGCTTCAGCATCTCATTGAGGCGCTTGGGCCTGCAAGGGGAGAGACATTTTGAAGATTAGCATTACTTTGATGTTTGAATTCTTCATTTTTGTGTATGCTTTACAAGCGATAAATCCATGAAGTAGATGCTTATATAGCATAATTAATGTATGAATGTACTTCAGAAATTAGTAAACAAAGTTCTAAAATTTAATTCAAGTACGTCATGTTATTTTTATTTTTGGATTATACATAGTTTGAGCCAATGTTGTATGTGCTGCTTAGTACTAGTTTATTTACTTTTGTTGAATAGGATAACACATACTGGTGCTTCAGCAAGTTCTTAGTTTTTTTGCTTACAAAAATAACATTAGACCAAATTCAATTACTACTTCACTACATCAAGTTCAAAAACAACTTTTTAATACATTGAGTACAGAAACTACACTATCGGATCAAGATCAAATACTGCACTAGTACATCAACTTTAGAAATTAATCTTCTGCAAGATTTTTCAAATAGTATTCCAGTGCATCAGGTTCAAAAATACATTTATGGTGTATCTACTTGAGAAAATGCAGTAGTGCATCCACTTTCACAAACCACACTAGTACATCTAGTTGGGAAACAAGTTTGAATTTAAATGAGTACTAATTAAACAGATGAACCAAATAGGGCAAATAAGTAGGATGGGTCACCATTTTGTGGCCGCTGCGATGTGGTACACAAGGCAGAGTTCCTCCACGCAGAACTGCAGGACTGCTGCCATCTGGGGAGCTTCGTCTTCCCTGGTGTAGTGCACACCAAGACCCACGATCTTATGATGAGAGCCGCCAGCCTTCCTCCAGAGCCTGGTGATCATCTCGTCGGCCTTGTCTGGTTCGCTGGTGCAGACGATCTCCAGCGTCTCCTTGCCGTGGAGCTCAACCCCTTCGAGTGTTCTGGTGTACGCGCGCTTTGTGCCGTGGACGTGAATGTTGTCGAGGTTGCAGCTCTTGCCAGACGTCTCGCCATGATGACGCTTGGCAGACGGTTCCTCCGTGTTGACACCAGATTTTGGCATGGTCGAAAACATTATTAAGAAGGCTTTAAATGAAAAAGTTCTCAAAGTGAGAAAGTTCCATATCGTCAAAAGGAGAAACTTTGATATTTGGGCCATAGCAATCCGATCTCATCTCTAAGGCCGAAGTTGTGTTTGAAGCACTGAGATTTTGTATTCAGAACACTATTCAGCAGATTACGCCCCCAAGACGGCCTCATATAAGAAACGTTTCTACACAGATTGTCTTCGCCTCGTCGAAAAGATTGATTTTGATATAAGGAACGTCTAAATCGGAGTTCGTATGCAAAAGTTAGAGCCAAAACAGTGTGCTGCATAAGTCTGCCCCGAAAGTTCCGGGCAAAACTTCCGGGGAGGTTCCGGGCTAAACCGAAAGATTGCACGAAGTGCACCCCGAAAACTGGAATTTTAACATTATTTGCAGATTTACGGGGACAACTTCGACACCAAGATGACCTCAGATGAAAAAATGATCAACTAAGGAATTTTTCTAAATTGCAAGATCTACAACTTTGCTTTTGGGACCATCGTGATCCGAAGCCATATGCGACCTGTAGGAGATGTGCAAGACAGCAACTTGATAAAATTTTAGCCCGGAAGTTCTGGGCTGACGAGAAGTTCCGGCCCTCGTAGTCGAGTTAGGTTATCTTTTGATGTTTTGGACGGGATTTGAGTCCTTTTCTTGTACGGAAAGTCCAGCCGCCTCATATATATGTAAGAGGTGACGGCCGATTGAACAACAACACACAATCGATCAAATTTATCTACACTTTTTACCTTTACTTTTCCTTCTCCCTTGTCCTTCTACTTCCTCGTTCTTCGTTCGTTCTTCTTCATTGCAGGGCGACGAACCTCGAGGCCCTAGGCCGGTCAGGCCGACCTAGGGTAGCCCATAGCCTCCATGCGCCCTGACGGGGTCTCTCCCGGGCGTGTGGGGTTTCGGGTCTACAAAAGCGCCCGCCGGATTGCTTGCGTACCG